GATTAAATTTCAGTGTGAATTCTAGAGACAAACATTCATGGACTAACAGCTAAAACATAACCTTGTTTTAAGAAAGGGCAGGGAGGAAAGAAAATGATTTTCTAAAGATGCCTTTAAAAGGATTATTATGAGTGGATTTTTAAAATATGGTATACACACACACACACACACACACACACAAAATGGGATACTATTCAGCCTTAAAAAACAGGAAATTCTGTCATCTGCAACAATGTGGATGAACCTAGTGAAATAAGCCAGGTATAGAAAGGTAAATGCCGGCTGGGCACAGTGGCTCATGCCTGTCATCCCAGAACTTTGGGAGGCCGAGGCAGGTGGATGACCTGAGGTCAGGAGTTCGAGACCAGCCTGGCCAACACGGTGAAACCCCATCTCTACTAAAAATACAAAAAATTAGCTGGACATGGTGGCAGGCGCCTGTTATCCCAGCTACTCGGGAGGTTGAGGCAGGAGAATTGCTTCAATCTGGGAGGTGGAGGTTGCAGTGAGTGGTCATTGCGCCATTGCACTCCAGCCTGGGCAACAGTGCGAAACTCTCAAAAAAAAAAAAAAAAGAAAAAGAAAAAGAAAGAAAAGCAAATGCCGTATGATCTCACTTGTATGTGGAATCTAAAAAGTCAAATTCCTAGAAGTAGAGACTAAAATGGTGGTTGCCGGAGGCTGGGGATGGGGAGGTGGAGTTGGGGGATGAGGCGATAGGGAATGGACAGGGAGAGATGAGATATCAGCCAAGGGTCACAAAGTTATAGTTAGGAGAAATAAGTTCTGGTGTTCCATTGTACAACAAGGTGACTACAGTTAATAATGTATATTTCAAAATACCTAAAAGAGAAGACGTTAAATGTTCTCACTAAGAAAACATGATAAATATTTGAGGTGATGGATATAATTACCCTGATTTAATCACTTCCAAGGTATATATGTATTGAAACATCACATTATACCCCATAAACATTGACAAGTATTTGTCTATTAAAAATAAAAAGGATTGTGATAACCAAAGGTTGATGTTCCTTTTAGACATATAATCTACAAATATTATTTTATCTAGGTTAAATCCATTGGCAATACATTTTAAGAAACCCATGCGCTGGCTGTCTTCAGAGTAGTATAGTGTATGAAGGCATGATTTTAGCATCTCATTCAATGATGCACTTGCAGATTGCATTCAAAGGGTAAAGATACAAATCGTATGCAACTGATCTCATGTAAGAGTTTATACAAGACGCTTCAGTTCACACTTTTCCCATTTGTTTTGCTTGAGTACTTCCAAACCCAGTATGTCTGATTACACTGCCACCTTTACATCAATATATAAATAAATAGGGAGGAAAATAATCACTGGAAGGAAAATTAAGGTTCGGGTCATACATCAGCTCTGCTTAGTTAGCATCCAAACCTATAATTCACATTGCTGCTGAAAAGCCTCCAGTGATTGCTTATCCATTACAGATCAATTGCAGAAAAAGACTGTAACTTTATTAGAAGCATAATTTAGGAACCCTATAAACATTTAGAATTTAAGCCCCACTAACTGAATTAAGTCCAACCGTATGGAATATTTATATACATGTTGATTTAAATCCCTTCTGAAGCCTTTCCAAGAAAACTGTATGCTGAAGGATCAAAAGGCAATTTAACCAACCCGACTCCAGACTACCACCATCCAATCCTAAGGAATATCACCTTAGCCTTTGTCACTTGCTTAATATAAAACATCCAGATGAAATTACCCACAGCTCATTAAAAAAAGAAACTCATTTGTCCAATATTAGGTTGTTTAAACTTTAAGATTTACTATTCCTCGAGCGTTTGCATGGTTTTCTCTAGGTAGCTGCTCAGAACATAGTGCTACTGCAGTCACGAATTCCTGTTAGCTGGTAAGCTACCTGCAGAAAATAGATAAATTTATTCATCCCAGGCATTTTCCTTATCTCCACGTAGTCGTCTTACCAAGGTATGGGGAAGGAGATTGTAGATGACTCTGAGAAATCCATCAAAACTAAGGCAAGAGCTATCACATCACAATCTGATGGAAAAAGATAGGTAATGTTTCCACACAGGAAGAAAAGCTCCTCTCCTTGTGCTGGCTCTGAGTGGATATTACAGTGTAAATCAAGCTGTAGGAGGTTGTAAGGAAAGTTAGAGAACACCTACTCTCTTAAGTATGATACCAAATTCACACTTAAAGACCTGGATCTTGCCTCCCATCATTCAAGTGTAAAACTTTCTGTTATTAGCAGAAAAATCCACACATCTCATAATGAATTTGTATTGAGTTTCTATAGAACTTATATTCACTAAACAAGATTGCTTGATAGTTTTGCCCCCAAGGCTAGTTAGGAGTGAACCCAGAACAAAAGCTAAGATTCTTAACTTCAAAATGAATGTATATTTTGAAATAGACATTATATTTTGCCTTCTTCCTGCTTGGTTCACTCCGTGTCTTGAAGGAAGGCATTTTCTACAGAAGGCAAGAAAGGTCCAAGCACTTGGAGCTTGTACATGGCTATTTCTCGGGAACTTCAAGGTCACATTGCCTGTGGAGCTGCTCCAGACTGAGGGCTTTCATTCTTCCTGGCAGAAATAGCACACTTGGCTATGAGTTCCTGCTCCTCCCCATCTCCTCTGGGGCCTCACCACTTTCTCTTAATACATTTTTCTCTGGACACTATCTTCAGCTTTAGAAAACTTTAGCTAATCCCTTCTGAGCTTCATCTTAAGAGTTTTATAAATTAATATTCTCATTCCATGTTCATGAATTCTGACTGTTACAAATAACAGCATATTTTATCATTTTTAAACACAATAATGTATAGTCACAGTCATTCTTGAACTAGGGAGTGGTCATTATAAAGTATCATAAAGTGTTTGGGAAGTAGTCAAGGTTTTAGTTGGGTGAGAGCTTTTTAATGTTTTACAACTCTAGCAATAAGAAATTACATCTTATATCGAACTCTATAAGTGAAATTAAACTCTCCTTTTTCTCTTTTCATAAAATTTAAATGTTTCACTATCATTTTAACAAAATCCTTTCAGCGTATGAATATTTTCTCATGATAATCCTTAGACATGGTGGTTTTCCCAGTAACATTGGCCAGATTAATTTACCCTTCCCTCATTGGTCTTTTCTATACCTAGGGGCAAACTCCTTTAGACAGGAATATGTCTGTTTTAATTTCTGACCAGTTGGCAACAAGGACTATCCTATGCACATGTAGATATGTAGCAATACTTCCTCAGAGGAGGAGGATACTGGCTAATGATTACTGTGAGCTTACTACATGTCAGGTATTATTCTAAGTGCTATAAATGGAATCAGGTTCATTTCCCACAAAGTATTATTATTAACCCCATTTCACAGATCAGGAAAGTCACAAAGCTTGATAGTCATTAGTAATGAAAAGAGAAAGAAACACAGAAATGCATCTTTATTTCTTTAATCATTCCTTCAATGACTAACCAATTTCCTCAACAAAGGCTCATGTTCTCCACAAATATTGTCTGAAAATTAAATAATAATAAAACAAAACATAAGAGCTGAATCCCTCTTACTGGTCCAGATCCATGAAGTCCACAGTTTTCAGCACAATGTCTAGTTCATTTGTTAGTTTGTAATACATTCCTCTGCCCTTAGAAATAATTAAACTGATTGTACCCCAAAATAAATCTTACTAGACCTTGTTCAAGTATTTTTATCCTTGTAATTAAACTAGTCTGTTTACCAAAAGTTGTTTTGTTTGCATATACTGTTAATATATTAGTCTTTACTTATAAATCTCTCTGCTGCAGAGAAAATGATGTGGAAAATGCAAAGAGAATAAGGAAAAAACTAAATTCAGGCATCTTTTTAGATAAATGTGATTGTCTACCAAGACTTTCCAAACACCACCTTAGTCCCTTAGGAAATGGATTCTGCAAAGATGAAAAATACATTTTCTTTTAATTTCTCTATGGAGATGTGATGAACACACAAGTAATCTGTGGTCATGAACAATTAGAGCTTGAAAGTTAGTCCCACTTCTAAGTATAAAGAATAAAATAAAAATCACCCATAATCCCACCATTCAAAAATCACTACTCAATATTTCAGCATATTTCCTTCTAGTCTTTTTTCTACTTTAAAAATCATAATAGGCCGGGCACTGTGGCTCATGCATGTAATCCCAACACTTTGGGAGGCCAACACAGGTGGATCACTTGAGATCAGGAGTTTGAGACCAACTTGGCCAACATGGTGAAACCCCTTCTCTATTAAAAATACAAAAATTAGATGGGTGTGGTGGTAGTAGGTGCCCATAATCCCAGCTACTTGGGTGGCTGACTCAGGAGAATCACTTGAACTGGAGAGGCAGAGGTTGTGGTGAGCCAAGATCATACCACTGCACTCCAGCTTGGGTGACAGAGTGAGACTCTGTCTCAAAAATAAATGAATTTAATTAAATTTAAAAACATAGTAAATAGGCTATCTTTTTATGTTTAAGAAGTTTTTCCCCTCATCCCCAGGAAAAAAGTTTCTATTATCCTCCTGTCCTGCAATGTATTCATCCCCTTCAAAGGCAACTCAAGTCATCAACAGAAAAATCAAATGACGCTTTAGCCACTCCGCTGCTTTCTTTCCTACTTGGAGGATAAATTCTTCAATTAAATTAAAGATTAACAAAGCCTTGGTAATTAGCATGCATCCTCTTAGTTGCAAAGATGGCTTAGCTATTCTCAGCTGTTAGTTTTTTTACAAAGGTGCTTGCAGTGAAAGCGTCAAGTTTAAGACTTCTCTAAACCTCTGCTCTACATCTCTCTCTGTGTTAATAATCTTCCTGGTGTTAGATATTTGTTTAATGATCAATAGTGGCTTCTATTCCTATCACTGAGTATTTCAGAAAGCAGCATAACCAAGTCAATGTTTAACTGGATTCTTTGGGTCTGAAATGGCAAAGTTGAAGGGAAGTCTCCATGGAAACCAGCCTCCCAGGAAGTGGCCAAAAGGGTTGGTGTGCAGTGAAACAGAGCTAGAAGGATGCCATGAAGGAAATGACTGCTTTGTAAAGCCAGGGTAAACTTCTGAAATGCCTTGATTAAAACAAGCTATATTAAAGACCCCAAAACCACTTTCCTCGCAGCTTTCCTCTGAATGTCTTTCACATGAAATGGGCCTGAGTCACTCTAAGACTCACCCGAGGGTGATCAAAGTAGCACCTTTGCAAAACAAAGAGGTAGAGACTCCCTCAGCTGGCCCTGTGGACTTTGCATTCAATCAGAATTTGGAAGAAAAGACTTCACATTCACTGGCAAGACTGCAGGACCAGAATAAAGCCTTGGAAGGGCAGCTGCCACCTTTACAAGAAAACTGGTATGGAAGATACTATGCAGGTAAACATAAAACCCAGCATGAGATGTGTGTATCTGGACCAAGGAGCATTATTAATAGATTTATCTGACTGTCTCCATGATCTCAGAAAGTTTCTAAATTACTGAAATGTAGAGGAATTTAGGCTATCTTTGAAAACTCAAATCTTTCAAAGAGGATTGAATGTCAATTGAAAGTATTCTGGGTGCATTAGAATGGGAGTATAAACTGTACAAAGGGCTTTTCACCATTCCATATGAGAAGGATAAATCATTTTGTTTCAGCTCAGTTTGTAATGCTTTCAATATTTATACCTAGCTTTGACAGACCATTAAAATTATATAGATACTAATGTGATAAATGATAGCAATCGCATTTCAGTTAAATTCTAAATTTAAATCATTCTCTCCAGTATAGTTTTATGCACCGGGCTTTGTGGTTTTGAAAGCAGCACTTTAAGAGTGAGTTAATTCTAACATGAATTTTGAAACCACCCTAAACAGAATTGATTTATTACAGTACATTGGAGTGGATGAGTCACCCTTTTCCCAACCCCACATTCTTCATGGTCATCTGCAGAACTAACAGAATTCTTTCCCATTATGATTGGAAGCTCTGAGCCTGAAGTGGCTATAAATTATCCTGGAATATTTTATAAGCCATGTAAAATGTTTTATCATGACCACAATGATAATTAAACAGACATCTTCACTTAGAAAAATATATGTTTATTTTATATATATATATATGCATATGTATATTGTTTTCCCTTTCCTTCACCTTCTGGATCAATAACACAAATAAGTTTCCCTTATTGGATGCCTCATTCAGAAAGCCTCACATTCTCTTTTGGTACCTAGCAAATCTTGCCTGGAATGATTTTTCATGTCTACTGTCTGCAGAATTGATAACCTTTGGTTGTTTCTATATGGCCTATTTTTATGTTCTTTATGGTCTTCAAGTTCTTAAGCACATAGATGGGAATTTTCCCCTTAGGAAATTTTTTATGACAGACGAATAGGTGACAAGACACGATTTAAAAAATGGAGCGTGAATGTGCACTAAGAGTATGCAATGCTCCTACTGAGGAATTCCCTTTTTATCCAAATCCCCATTGAGAGTTTTAAGATTTTGGTGATAGAGAGAGACTCTGTTTCAAAAAAAAAAGATTTAGGTAACTGAATAAATGGTGAAAGCTGATTCATGTGCTTTAGAGTCCCAACTGGAAAACATGCTTATGTCTGAAGTGACAAAATCACATTGAAAATAAATAACAAGGAGATCATGAGGATTCTCATGACGATCTCCCATATTCTCACCGCAGCTCCATCAAATACCAAATCGAACGACCTTGGGCAAGTTACTTCATCAATTTTTTTCACTTGTAATCAGGGGTAAAAATAAATGCCTGACACAGCCTATGCCATTTGAGGAGAATCTAATTAAATAATGGACTAACATCACTAAAATAAAAAAATAAGGATTAGTAAGATTTCTGAAAAAATAGCTGAAAATACTTACATTTTTAAATCCAATATGTTTGTTGTTTCCATCCTGCTCAATATGCTGGCATCTTTTCAAAAGAAAATAAGGACATAGTTTGCATACCACTAAAAGTCAGAGAGAACAAAGTCCTTAAAGCGGTCATTCACATGTCTTAAAGAGAAAGATGCATAATTATCCATGGATTTTTCCATTTAAAATGCAAAGTGGGACTGTAAAATACTCTGTGAAACAATCTAGAAATCAGAATGTGTCCAGATTATTAAAAGGGAAAGACAAGAACTGCACTCATGCAGCGTTGGTCATGGTAGCACTCCCAAGAGCTCAGGATAATCAAGCTGGAAAATAAAATCCATAATGGATCTGTTGAGCCTCTCTGTTTCCTAATAGAGGCTTAACTCTGTATCCCTGGCTTGTTTCATCAGGAAAGAATATTGATATGCTGTATTATAGTGGCAATCTGTGGAAATTTTTTTCACTAAAGGGGCTATTGAATTGTGTTCACACATACTCCATTTCTGTCTCATCTCTGTATAATCACCTATCTATCTATCTATCATCGATTTCATCTAAGAAGATTATTTTCATTTTTTAAAGTTATATATTTTTCTGATGTCTTATATTTCGGTGAGGAGATTTTATGGAATTAAAACAAGTCAATAAATTTCTATTTTCCAGGCCAAATTCTGTTTGAAAAATATTTGCAGTCAACATATTGGTAATTTTGTAATTCTTCCCCTAAATATGAACCTGAGTAGGAAGTTAGGAGAGCAGATATTAAATCCCAAGTCTAGACTAAAACAGTGTCATTTGCACTAATGTAGGTTCCCTGCTTTCTGTGTTTCATCTCCACATTCAACCTACAGGTTAGACATATATAACTGGAAAGGTACAAAATTGTGTTGATAAAGTCTAGTAACTAATGATTACCTGATCTAATAGTAAATTATATTTAACGTTTTATTCTTGTTTCTTCTCCAATCCTTCAAGCATCCAGAGATGTGGATTTTGACATCCCACTGGAACACAGAGAAACAAGTATTATTAAAAGGCATCCACCCCAAAGACTTCAAGTAAGATGAATTTAAAAGGCTTCATAAGGAATTTCTTGGATATAATGGTAACATCCCTTTTTAAACTATAATCATCAAAGAGGGACATTGATAATGACCAAGCTATTAATGAGAATGTTCTTAAAGAAAAATGCAATCAGTCACAAATACTCTATTACTTTAAGATTTTCCTTTAGCAATGATTTTGCTTTTAAGACCGGCCACCGAAAGAAGCAAGTTTAGTAGCAAGGACATAGGTATGATGCAACTCAAGAGGCTTGAATCCAGCACTAATTAGTTGAGTGACTATGGGAAAACAACTTGTAATAAATAATAACAGCTACTACTATTTAATTATACCTACTATACCTACTACAAGTCAGATACTATAACAGGCAATTCAATCTGTTATTTATTTAATCTTCTTAGCCATCTATGAAAAGGAAGAATTATCTTTGTTTTATATATGCTAGTCAGAGAGTTCAGTAACTACCCCCAAAGACTCACAGAGGTCAGATAGCAACCAGGTCTCCAAAATCTGCACTCCTAACTATCAGCGTAAGTAATTTCTATAGTCCTTCTATCTTTAACCTTTTATTGTTCTAGATGTTAACTGGTTGTTTAAATTCAGGACATTGGATTCCAAGGAAGCAAAGCAAGAGCTTTAAACACATTCACCTTAATAAATATTTAATGGGTTCTCTGTAGATAGCTATACATTTTAAGAACTCTCAACCTAGAAAGGGAATGGGTAGTTTGGAGTGGTCCTTGAAAATGAGCATCATTGGAAGGAGGGTTTAGGGCTCTCTTGTGAGCAGGATCTATCACTGACATTTGAAGCCAAATCCCACCTGCTACACAATTCACCCAGATGCCTGGACCAATCCCAGAGGTACTGGAGCTCATTTGTTGGGGATTATTTCTGTTTCAGTTGGTTTTTCTTTACCTGTCTTCTGCAGAAGCTCACAGCCATTATTTGAAGTGATTATATCATTTTGTCTCAAAAGAGTATTTTTTCCCAAAATATTAGAAACTACAAAATTATTCTTTAGATAAAGAAAAATAAAATGAAATATAACAAATTAATATCTAATTTACAAGTTTTTACAAATCCTCTAAGTAAACAGGATAGTTTTAAAAGATATTTTATTCCTAAATCAAATACTTCCTTTCAAAGGAGTGTGTTTAATACATGTTTCCGTGAAGCCTCTAAGCTGATTAGTTCAAATAGAAGATATTACTCTAACTAGTGAAAAATATTTGTCTAGTACTTTATAGCTCACAAGTACTTTTTTATATCTATCAATCCTAAACAAAGGAGGTTAAGTTTTGATTTTCTCAATAGTCAAACAAGGTCAAAGAGAGAACATTGGTATTTCAGAGTCAAACACTGCACCACCACCTCCATACACATACACCCTAACCAACCATCTTAAAAACAAAGAATCAAGACAAATGAATTATTTCAGTGCAAAGACTATGCCTTTTTTATTCTTCAACTTTTAAATTCAGGGATACAGGTGCAGGATGTACAGGTTTGTTACATAAATAAATATGTGCCATGGTGGTTTGCTGCACAGATCATCCTATCACCTAGGTCTTAAGCTCAGTATCCATTAGCTGTTCTTCCTGATTCTCTCCCTCTCCACCAACCCTGACAGGCCCCAGTGTGTGTTGTTCCCCTCCCTGTGTCCATGTGTTCTTATTGTTCAGCTCCCACTTATAAGTGAGAACATGTAGTGTTTGGTTTTCTGTTCCTGAGTTAGTTTTGCTGAGGATAATGGCTTCTGACTCCATCCATGTCCCTGCAAAGAACATGATCTCATTCCTTTTCATGGCTGCATAGAATTCCATGGTGTATATGTACTACATTTTCTTTATCCAGTTTATCATTGATGGGCATTTAGGTTAATTCCATGTCTTTGCTATTGTGAATAGTGCTGCAATTAACATATGCATCCATGTATCTTTATAATAGAATGATTTATATTCCTTTGGGTATATACCCTGTAATGGAATTGCTGGGTCAAATGGTATTTCTGCCTCTAGGTCTTTGAGCAATCACCACATTGTCTTCCACAATGGTTGAACTAATTTACACTCCCACCAATGGTGTAAAAGCGTTCCTTTTTCTCCACAACCTCTCCAGCATCTGTTGTTTTTCGGCTTTTTAATATGGCCATTCTGATTGGTGTGAGGCAGTATCTCATTGTGGCTTCGATTTGCATTTCTCTAATGATCGGTCATGTTGAGCTTTTTTTCATATGTTTGTTGACTGCGTGTATGTCTTCTTTTGAGAAGTGTCTGTTCATGTCCTTTGCCCACTTTTTAACGGGGTTGTTTTTTTCTTGTAAAAGTGTTTAAGTTCCTTGCAGACTCTGAATATTAGACCTTTGTCAGATGGATAGATTGCAAAAATGTTCTCCCATTCTGTAGGTTGCAAATACTATGTCTTATTCAATCTTATGTCTTCAGCCATTAATACTTAATATGAGATCCACAAAAGTTTGTGAGTAAAATGAATGAGTGAATGAATGACAATGAGACCCATCATCCCTGCTGGAGGAAGGATAAAGCACTCAAAGTGCACTCCCTGCTATTGCAGATCTGTAATCACTGTATTAGAAGTCTGTACCATCACTGTAACACGACTGTATTAGAAGTCTCCTTGACTAGCAAAAATAACTAACATGATTAATTAGAAGGATATAGGAATGCTTTATTGAACCAAAGATCTGGGAGACACCTAAGCTTCAGGGAAGAATTATACCTTGGAACTTGAAATGCAGAGCTCTCTCAATTCCTAAGCTCTTCTCTGTGCATTTGCTATACTCCTTCTCACCAAAGATGAGTTTTCTCTGTTCTTCAGGAATGAAATATGGCCACACATGAAATATGGCCACCCTGAGCTTGTATCTTACAGTTCCAGTCAAATGGACAGATGGGCCTTCTTGACTCCAATTCCAGATTCCTAGGAGAAAGGATATTGGCTCATCTTTGCTCATGATTTCAGCTCTGGTCCAATGAGCTATGGCCAGAGGATATACTCATGCAGTAGATATGTGGGCAGAGGAGTCTCCCCTATAGACTCTGGAGTCAGCTCCCAGAGAGGAGGGAAATCACTAGAAACTTGGCAGACACTCCCAAAGAGACCAGCTATAATTATCTTCACAAATGAAGCTCAGCACATTTTTAAGCACAAATGAGTTTTTGAGAGAATAATACATGCTGGGTCCTCATGACATGCTAATTAATAGCCTAATTTCTGCCAAAGAAAATTCTAAAAGTATTTTTAATTATTAAACCAAACCTAATTGTATGCTAAATTATTTGAGTTATATTTTTGGCACCTTCTACTTCCTAAACATCTACTCCTCAAATAAAGAGCAAGTCATGAACTAGCATTATCCAACCTAGAGCTGAGAGGCTCTGAGAGCCTCTGCCAGGGAACTCTGCATCAAATGGGCCTTTTTATTGAAGAGTTGATTAGCACTGTCCCCTCTGGCCTGATCACCTTCTTATGCATCCATTTCTAGCTTATATTGGAGGTGTTTCCCCCCCCAACATATAGTGTGTCCTCAGATGATCTCCTTGGATAACTCCCTGATCTTCAAATATTTCTTCAAATCTCACTGTCCCTATAAGACTCACCCCGACCAATCAATTGACATTGCAACCCCCACGTCAGCACTCTTGAGTCCGCTGGCCCTTCACTAGATTCCCAAATCTCCTAGCAGACACTTCAACTGATTATGCTGACCATTTGTTTTGTTTGAGAAGTCAAATAATCCAGAAGTCTTTAAACAAATGATACTTATATTATAAAGTGAAAATAAGGTGTCATTCTAACCGATTCTCTAGTAGTTCCTTCCATTGTGTTCTCTTTGAAGATGATGAAGTGAGGCATCTCACTTCCTGGGCAGGGAAAAGGAACATGCATATAAACCCAGAATTCTGAGGCAATTTCATCTGACTGGTTCATTTAGCTGAAGCCAATTTCGCCAACAATTTTTTCTGCAGTGCTTCTCAAATCAAGTGGTAAATGATTCAACGAAGAGATCCCAGTTGCAATGTTAGTTGCTGCCATCTAGTGGCTTTTGTGAAGGAATAGTGTGATTCCTTAGGCTCTTCTCAACGGCCAGGGAGAAACTCAACCTGGAGAGAGTTCTTGCAGATATCTACCACTGAACCCTTATTAGAATTGTGTGTTTAAATAGAAACACTGAAAATAGCAGAAAGAGATCTGTGATAACTACATATTTATACTAGCAAAGCAAAAACTTGGTCTATGAATTTATGGATAGATGAGTTTAATAAAACTAAAAATTCGTGGCTTTTTCAGACTCAATTTTTCAAAAATATTCCACAAAAAAAGATCCTCCGTAGGCTATTTTGATGTCATTCCTTTGTTCACTTAAGGCAATGTGGAAGTCAGTGGCCCCCAACCTAGGAAGAAATCATCAGAATCCCTGGGAGAGTTGTGAAAATATTTATTTCCAGGATATACCCCAGACCTGTTGAATCTCAATCTCTAGTGAATGGGCCAAGAATTTCTTCTTTTTTAATGCCAGAAAAGTCTGAGATAAGCCATTCTGGAGAACATATAGTGCAGAAAAGAGGTTTAGATTTGGAGCTGGACACACTTGTGCTTGAATCATGGAGATGCCACTTTCTAACTGTTCAACCTTAGACAAGTCAGCAACCTCTCTGAAATGGGGAATCATCATAATTATCCACGGAGTTCACATGAGGATTGAATGAGATTACATATTTATAACCCTGGGTATGGCATGCAGTAATAGCTGCAAAGGCATATAGACCTAATAAGAAAGAACCAAATCCTGAACACTCTCCACGTCCAGAGGATGGCACAAACACTTGTTCTCCCCAGCTTCAGAAATCCCCCTTGAGTCATTCCTGATTCTTCCTCCCATAGGTGCCTTGAGGGGCTCCTCTCCCTTGGCCTCCCCTCCCCTTCCTCTCCTTCCACTTTTCTTGCAGTGTTCTGACTTGATCAGCAGCTGCCTCTCGTACCAGCAGGTCCCATTTGCTTTGCATCTTTATGTCCTGCAGGGTTAAGAGCCAGGGGAACAAACTCCTCTTACTAGGATTGATCTCTCATTACATCTTTGCTAAGTTATGTTAAAAAGACCCACTTCCTCCTCTGAGGTGAGAATGGAACAGAGAACCACTTCCCACCACAAATGCAAATTATTACCTGGCACATATCTAACATAAAGATGAGCTCTTTCCCCTTGTTGTCTCTTCTTTGTCTCCACATTCTTTGCCCTTCTTCTCTTCCTTACCAGGTCTACTTTGGGGTGCTCCAGCAGAAAGGACTGCTGGGTGCTCTCCAGTCCAGGACCAGGGACCTAGAAGTGGTTGTACAGGGAAGTAGTGGTGGACACAGGTCATGCTCCCCATTACAAGTACTGAATATCCAGTATTTATCTTCTTTGGTCCACTCACTCCTTTTTTCCTGGTCACCTTGAAAGCCAAGTTGACTTCCAAATGTACCTCTTAATAATGCAACAAATCACACCAAAACTAAACCATTTTAAAGTAAATTAGCATGTGCCTTCAGCAGTGAACTAAGGTGGGAGTAGGGCTCACACTCTTTGCTGCAGCATGATGTCCTCATGGTTTTCCTCCTACTTCTTGAGCCATCATTTCCCAGTCTCCTTGGCCAGCTTATTCCTGGCCACCAGCCTCACCACTGGAACTCCTGGAGTCTGCAGTCTTTAGCTCTCCTCTTCTCACTCCTGACCTTTACCATGACCTCGGCTTCACTCATGCTCTACTCTGGGATTATTCCCTAAAGTCTCCAGCACAGACCTCTCCTCCCAAGCTCCCTGTATAACTCAACAGCTACACTGGCCTGTCTCAAAGGTGTCTCAAACTCAATCTACTGCACACCAAATTTGTATTTTCCTTCTACATCCCAGCCAAACTAGGTCTTCCTCTGGATTGCCCATCACAGGGTATAACACCCTCCATTCCTTGTGCTGTGGACTCTATTCCCATTTACTAACCATAATGAATCTCGTTTGGTCAGCTTTAAACATTTGTAGAGATCATCAGTTTCCCTCTTTCAACCCCAGCCCATCATCTTTGTCTTCCTAGCTGATCTCTCCACATCCATAATTATTCCTTTCTAGTTTCCACACTGCAGCCAGAGTGACCTTTTTTAAAAAAGCAAAGGTAATCATGTCACTTCTTTGCTTAACACATCAGTGGCTTCTCATTGCTCGTAAGGGACCACTATCTTGATGGCCTGTCAGGCCTTACATGACCTGGCCCCTGCCTCACCTCCCTAGCTCATTCCAAGCTGCTGTTTCACTTACCTAAACTGCAGCCAACTGACTTCGTTCCATTCCTTCAACAGATCATGATCACTCCCCACCTCAGGGCTATGGCACACCTTAGTCCCCTAAAAACTCCCAATCTGTCCATTTCTACTGAAAAGGTACTACCTTAAAGCACTTTCTTGAACTGCCTCCCTAGCCCTTTCCCTCCTGCCTTAGATTGCTAAGGCTGTAACACAGTACCACAAATTGGGTGGCTTAAATGATCCAAACGTATTGTCTCCCAGTTCTGGAAGCTAGAAGACTGAGGTCCAGGTGTCCATAGGGTTGGTTCCCTCTGAAGCCTGTGAGGAAGGTCTGCTCCATGACTCTCTTCTAGCTTTAGGTAATTTTCTGGCACTCTTCGGTGCTGTTCATTGGCTTGAAGAACCATCACCCCAACCTCTCCCTTCATCTTCACATCGTGTCCTGCCTGTGTGTGTGTCGGCGTCCAGATTTCCCCTTTTTTATGAGGACATTATCATATTGAATTAGGGGCTTGCCCTACTCCAGTATGACTTCATCTTAACTAATTATATCTGCAATGACCCTATTTCCAAATAAATTCACATTCTGAGGTATGGAGGGGCTAGGCTTCAACATACGAATTTTGTGGGGTAGCACAGTTCAACCCCTAACACACATTATTTTTCAGGTGGAGTCCTTCAGTTATGTAGCATCATAGTTCTGCCCTGCAGATTTTTTCTTCAAAGCACTGACCACAGTTTGTAATGATCACTTGAATAATCACACAAGCAAAAGCACATCTATTACGCATAGATTGTAAGCTCCATGAGGGGCCATGTCCGTTTTTGCTGACCGTTGCCTCCCCATGTCTGGCATGTAGCAGTCATTAAGTACTCACTGAAGGAACAGATAAACTCTGTGGTCCTCCACGTTCCCCATTGCATGTCAATGTGAAGAGACCACCCTTCGTCTCCCAAACCTGCTTGATCACTTCTCAGTGCTCAGCTTCTAAGGCAAGAAGGGCTGGAGGCAGACCGGCTGACATGAATTGCTGCCCAGTCTTAGTGACCCCCTGAAACTCCAACATATCTCCCCTATCAAGCCAAGCCCCTTCTAGAAAAAGACATCTCTAAAATGTGTTAGCACACTGCAGTTTCATTTTAAATGTGTCTCATAGTCACCAGTGATTACTACTAAGGAGCTTCTCTAGAGATCTTAAAAACAGATTGCTTCCCTAAGGGCTGGAATAGTTCAGCTGGGTACCTAAGGAATGTGTGAAATAAAATAAATTCCTAGTGCCTCTTTTATCTCTAATATTCTAAGATCCTGGTGGTTTGATAATTTTGGACATGGTCCCTCAATGCAGACAGAAGAGGATTCTTAGTCTCCTAACTCTCTGACCAGTACTTAGATCAATAAGGCACTGTCTACAGTGCACTAGAATAATAAAGAACCCAGATAGGTTGAAAAGCCTTTTGCACTAATATAACTGTAATGCTGTTGGAACCACCTTTCCTGTATGCTCTCAGAAATAAGTGCCGCTTTTGCAAAGTGTTAAGATAGTTTAATGTCTGGCTTTTGTGTTTCATCATCTCATGGCATGAGGAATGCTGACTGCTCTAAACGTTGAACTTCTAGAAGCTCGAACCCGTCGACTTGCCACGAGTAATTACTTCAGGAAGACTCCTGAGCCAGCGAGAAGCCAGGACAATGCACAAAGCAAAGGTGAGCTGCAGCAGTAACCTGACAGGGAGGTGAACTAGGGGTGGGCGACACAGGATTGGGGCACTGGAGCACACTGGTCCTTTCATGCACTCTCTGCATGGAGGAGTTCAAAGACAAATCAAACTGTTAAGTCATTCAGAGTGAGAACTTTTCAAAGCTATTTATTCTCTTCTGTGCATGCCTCCAACTGGCAGTGGCTCTTACCTCTTGCATGAGCTCTGCGCCCTTTTCTGTTTTGTGTTGAAAACAGGGCAATGTAGATGAGAAAAGACTTTTACTTAGAAATTGGTGATTCTGAAGTTTTCAAATCTGTGAAAAATTCAGCATAAGTCCTCCCTTTCATTCCTCCCCTCAGTTTAAAACATCCTCTTTGTTCTGTTTGCAGGAGAAATCTTATCTACAAGTTATTCCTGACTTATTTGCCACAACCTCACCAAAAATTAATCCTGAGAAATGTCTTCTGTGTATCTTTTCCCTGCTTTGCACTTGTAATGTTCTGTTGACTAGAACTCCCCTCACATAGAAATGAAAGCTGGAAGGCAGAAGCAGATTTTCAACACTTTCCACTCCTAATTGTTTTGGAGCTAGCTAGGTGCTGCTGTGTGGCTGGCTGACTTGGTAAAGATGTCCAGGTGCTATCAGAATCAAGCCCACGTTTGTGGTGCTGACAGCATCTGCGGAGATGGCCCTTCCCTGAGGTTCACATCAGCTGACAGTCACTATCCACACGGCAACACAAAAGGTATTGTCAAACACATCACCCTTCCTGGCAACAGCAAATGACAAATGAAGGTATATTCACCTCTGGCTGCCCTCAATAACTGTCTGCACTGTCCCACTGGAGTTTATGATGCACCAGCGGGGAGATGTTCAGAGTCACAAATAATCAACTTCAAATCCTCCCTAAACTGCAATATTCTCCAAGGCTTAGGCTGACATATGGAAATGCACTCTATAGAAATAGGTTCCATTTCACCATTCAGCAGCTTCCCTCTCATTTCATAGCCAGTCAATTAGTGGTAGAAGAGATAGGGAGAAAAAGGAAGGTTTCTTCAAACTGAACACATTTCTGGGGATAGTACTAGTAATAAGTAGTAATAAGCATCTGTTTACAAGGGAAGTGATATCTTGTCAAAAATGAGATGTGGAAAGATATTCCCATTTAAGGTTTACAAAACTCTATAGCAACCTAAAAAACTACAAATATACATATCAAAGAGTCACTTCATTCATTGACAGTGACACAAAGGACTTGTCAGGGACATACAATAGTCCACTTTTGTCATCACAAGATATCTCTACGGGTTATGACTGATTAAGATCTCACTCTGTTTCAAGAAGGATGTAAACTTGTGAATTGCAGAGTCAGTAACAAATTACCCCATACTAACAAGTGTGTCATCTTTCATAGCAGGTACTAGAAAAGAAAATGCAAACTCCAATGTATACTTCTGAGAACAGACAATATTTGCATAAGATGCAAATGCTGGAAATGATTCGTAAAAGACAAGAGGTAAATATGGAGAAAGAATTTTCATCACATAATCACTGCCCTGCCACATGAATATATCAAGCATAGATACCTAGGCTTTACTTAGCATTTTAAATCTAGTCACTGAGGTTAAAAGTTCAACTACTAAAGCTGAGAAGAATCAGGAAGATTCCCTTCTGCTGATAACCTTGTTGAGTCTTTTCTAAGTTTTCAGTCCTATCAAGGATGTATCTGTGCCTCAAGTCTCCATTTTTAAAAATAGTTTGCTCCTATGACACTCTGGACATAGGAAAATGGGGCTAGATCATTTTTCTTGGTTTAGTGAAAGGAGGAGGGGGTGAGTTGTTCTTTATTCTGATACCTAGGCCTCTCTCTATAATTCTTGCCATAGAATTATCTAACAAGAAAGACTGCTTGTAAAAAAACAAACGAAAACCCTTTACCAGTAATGCCTGTAACTGTCATATTCCAAATTCCTCCCTCTAGGAAACAAGCCTTTAGTTACTGCTCTCTGCAACTCCAATTATATCAGCTAGCCTACAGAAACACGCTTTTGTAAGGGGCCTCATCCTAATTGAGCCATACCCTTTTGAGACTGGGCACACTCACCTTTCTCCTAACAAGCTTGTGAATAAAGAAAGTTCCCATACCTTCTAGTAGGAAAAAGAAAACCATGTTCTGCTTAGAGGACTGCAGATGTCTACAGATAAGCACACAACTTGCAAAGTGGCTGATCTGTTGCTCTCTTCTGGTGAAAGTAGCTTGGGAAGAACATTGATCATTTATGGCTGATGATTTTCAGGCCCAAATGGAGTTAAAGAAAAGTCTTCACGGAGAGACAAGAATTAATAAGCGAAGTCCAAGGGACCATAAAGCCAAGAAAACCCTTCAAAGCACCCCAAAGAATGATGACCATGACCTTCTAACCATATTGCCTGATGAAATCTTGAACAGAGGTCCCGGTGAGTCATGTACAATTTTTTAGTAAAATAGTTTTTTAAACTTCATCAAATAAACTACCAAGGAAGGGGCATGGTGAGAAGACAGCACACAGCTTTGAGTTCTTGCTGAGAGTTTTACTTCCCAGAATATAGTGGGCATGTTGTCATGTAATTTTGGATGGCTGGGAGGAAAAGACAGAAACTTCCGCTTGGTAATTAAATGTCTCTTTCTTTGTATGGGTTTAATATGCTTTGCATGCTTCATTGCAAGGCTTGCCTCATCCCTAGAAGGAGAAAAGGCAAAATAGCCTCATCTTGTGGTTAGAGAGAATGAAGCACATGAAGATATATTGCCTGCAGTCACATGGCAAATTTGCTTCAGCAGGGTTGGTACCATATGCAGACACTTATCTCCCCGACTGCACCCTTTTCCACGCAGGTCAACCCTCTTTGGCACATTCAGAATTTCTAGAATGAATCACTGCCCACCCTGAGCTTGCTGTTCCTGCTGATCTACCGGCTCAGTGGACAAGGTCTCCAATGTCACTCTTCCCTATCTCCCTACAGCTGGTCGGTCACCAAGCCCTGCTGATGTCACCTAGAAGTAAAATCTGCCCTTTCTCTTCCATTCCAGGCAGTATTGCCTTAGGTATGACCCTGGTCCTGTTACACCAGGGTTCCAGCTACAGCTTCCTGACTGGGCCCCTCCCATTAGGTCCCACTCTCCATCCATCAACACTTCACTTCAGTGGTTCTCCATGTGGTCACCAGACCACCAGCATCAGCATCACCTGGGAACCTGTTAGGGCCCAGAGTGACTGAATCAAAAACTGCAGGGGTTACGCCCAGTACTCTGGGTTTAACCACCCCTCCAGGTGATTGTGATGCTCTTAAAGTTTAAGAAAAGCTTAACTTTAAGTGATTCCTAACTCTACTCAGTAATTGAAGTATTACCACAGACCAGCATCATCAGTATCACCTGGGAGTTTATTAAGAAAGGCAAAATTGGAGGTCGTACCCCAGACCTACTGAATGAGAATCTGCATTTTATCAAGATTGCCAGATGATTCTCATGCACACTGAAGTTCTAGAAGCACTGCACTAACATCAGAGTAATCCTATAACATGCAAATCTGACCATGTCACTCTCCTGCTTAGAAAAACAAAAATCCTCCGTGATTCTCTGTCAGCCTGAAGACAACGTCTAAGCTCCTTAACATGGAGCTAAGTGTGGTGACTCATGCCTATAGTCCCAGCTACTCAAGAGGCTGAGGTGGGAGGTCCACCTGAGGCCAGGATTTCAAAACCTAGCCTAGGTAACATAGCAAGCCCCCTGTCTCAATAAAATAAACTCAACCTGGGACTCTAAGCCTTTCAGGATCCAGTCATTGCCACCTAGCCTTTCTAGCTTCACCTTCTGCCACTCTCGCACCCAGCCCCCACATTTCAGCCGTGCCGAATTGTTTATGCTCTCAGATCGCTCTATGCTTTCTAATGGACAGGCTTGTCCACAACTTCTATGCTACATTGCCCCACCAATTAGAGCCCCATAAAGCTTTCCTTGTTTGTATTTCCCCAGGGCAAACCCACAGTTGAAATTTCCAATATTGTTCACACACAGAGATTGCTGTGCTGTGAGCCAAATTCCCCACATCACCAGGACTGACCCACCACGGAGAGAGCTGCAGAAAAGCTGGCTATGTCTCTAGAGGTCTTGAACTTCTAAGATGCAAAATCGCCTGCTGAAAGAGACACTGCTCCTACTCGGAGAAACAAGATGCTTAATCAATAAGTTAATTAAATAAGAAAAGGCTGAATAATTGAAAATCTACTTGAGACATCTATTTAATCTATACTCCCAAGTCTCAGAATGAAATATCCTTTGTAGTCACACAATTTTTACCATTTAAACAATATCTTTTAAAAAATATGCAAAACAACCAAGAAAAAAGCCTCAGCTAAAGTTAGACACTTAACAGTCATCACCTGAGAGCACGTCAAGAAAAACCAGCATCGGCCAAGTCCTTGGAAGATGTCTCAGAGCTGGAGGGGACCGAGGAGAAACTGGCACAGGAGAAAGGAGTTGTCCTCTGCTCTCCTGATGCTTTTTAAAGCTGCTTCATTTTATTCAAGCTAAGGTTTGTTGAGTGCTTACTATAAGCCAGGTACTGTGGTTTGCCTTAAATATGCATTATCTCTTTTAACTCTTACACAACCTAGAAGGTAGGAGCTACTATTCGCCCCAGTGTGACAGAGCCAGGATTCAAGTTCAGGTCTTTTTGACCTGCACTCACACAGCCCCACCAGGACCACCAAGGACTTGGAACTCTGTCAAGGACAGCTTTGGAAAAGTTTGCAAATGTAGGGGTTGTGACTCCTTGACCTTATTTTTCAAAGAAGGCCACACTCTGCAACTTCTGAAAGGAAAGTTAAAGCAGCTGGCAGACTTTGGAGCTCACGTTCTCCTGGAAGTGACCGAGTGTAGAGAAGAGAGAACAGAAGGAGTAACTCAGGCAGGAACCAATTCAAGTGCCAGTCAGGGAGGCGTAGCTGCATCAGTAGCGCACAAATGCTCAGTTAAGAGCAAAACCACCTGAGGAGCTTCTCAAGAACACTCAGCCCTAGGGCCGATCATGGTGGCTCACGTCTGTAATCCCAGCACTTTGGGAGGCCAAGGCGGGCAGATCACCCGAGGTCAGGGGTTCAAGACCAGCTTGCCAACATGGTGAAACCCCATCTCTACTAAAAATACAAAAATTAGTCGGTCACAGCGGCGGGCACCTGTAATACCAGCTACTTGGGAGGCTGAGGCAAGAGAATCACTTGAACCTGGGAAGCAGAGGTTGCAGTGAGCCAAGATCATGCCACTGCACTCCAACCTGGGCGACAGAGCAAGACTCCATCTCAAAACAAACAAAAGAAACACCTAGTCCTGTCTCCCAGCTTCAGCCTACTGAATCTGAATCTCTAGGTTGAAGGTGAAAGAATTTTACGTTTTAAAAGGTCCTCAAGTGATTTTGAACATTAGCCAAACTTAGATGGACTAGATAACCCTTGAGAACTCTTTCAACACTTTAACCTTATGAGAATCTTTTTCTTTGTAACAACTTGTGTGTGTGTGAGATACACAGGACAAAATAAGCCTAGAAAATGTAGATTTTGCTAGCATGAAATAGACAGGGAATTCTAACTCTTCCTATTATAATGATATCATAATTAAGTAGACTTTTAGAATGACATGTCTGCATCAACTCACCTGCCTATTGCTGAAGTTGTTGGAAAGAGAAGACAGACAAATATCACCAGAAATGTGTTTGATGATGGAGAGACTACAATGCCTACAAAGGGTGTCATTCTGTTCTGTGCTTCGATATTCACTGTGCAGCCCTGTACATGTAAAAGTGTAGGATACTGGCATAACTATGGATACAGCTAGTATTTATAAAGTGCTTCTAAGAATTTTAAATGCATCATTTAATCCTCATATTAACTCTACAAGGTGAAAATTATTACCACCTCTCTCCTACAGATGAAGAGACTGGGTCTGGAGAGGTCCAGTCACATGTGCAAGGTCACAGCCAGCCAGTGAGAGGTGAAGCTGCTCGGGGATGCACTTACAGGGCACCTGACTCCTGAGCCGACAGGCTTCACCTCTGTGCTCAGCATTTGTCCTAGCGATGATTCCTTTTCACTTATTCCCAGAGAGCGTCTTTGATTTCTTTCCGCGCCTTCTAAAAGTAGTTCACTTTCTCCTACAAATGGGGTGTAGCTAAGATCTTACACTTACATAAGCATTCTACTGTCAGGGTCTGGTCATTAAGGTTCCTCTGTAGCTGTCTCTTCTTACTTAATGACATTCTCGACCTTTCTTGTTCCCCTGTTGAAAGGTGAAATGAGGGTTGTGGCTCTCTTGTGAGATAAAAGTCAGTCACTGCTTTCTACTGCATCTTTAAAATGAAATCTCCCATGCTTTACATAAATTTTACATACATTCATATAATAAATTACATATACAATCATATGACACAAATTATATATAACATACACATAGTGAATGTCACTCTTTTTGGTGTACAAGTCTATGAGATTTAATGTGTTTCTGTGGCTCCTACCCTTTGCTGAAGCTGTGATATGAATGAACATAGAGGGTGGGAAGAGCACTGGAACTGACCTCAAAGCCCTTCACTGAGTCCCAGTAGTGCATCTACTAAATGGAAGCTCCATGAAGGCAAGGACTTTTTCTTGTTCCTAGAATAGTACCTGATACATGATAGCCTCTCAATAAATATTAACTGTTTATTTTTTATATAATTTCATTCTAGAGAGAGAAAGAATATAGCTAAATTCTAGTTATTTAACCTCCAGGAACCTCAGTTTCCACATCTATAAAATGGGCATAAAGTATTGTATACCACATAAAGTTTATGTAAAAAATAACATGTATAAAAGCACACATAAAATGTAAAGTGTGGCCAGGCACTTTACAGGCCATAGCTCATGTCTGTAATCCCAGCATTTTGGGAGGCTGAGGAGGGTGGATCACTTGAGATCAGGAGTTTGAGACCAGCCTGGCCAACATGGCAAAACCCCGTCTCTACTAAAAATACAAAAAATTAGCCAGGAGTGGTGGCACATGCCTGTAATCCCAACTACAGGGGAGGCTGAGGCACGAGAATTACTTGAACCTGAGAGGCGGAGGTTGCAGTGAGCCGAGATCACACCACTGCACTCCAACCTGGTCAACAGAGAGAGACTCTTTCTCAAAAAAGAAAAAAAAAAAATAGAAGAAGAAGTACCATACAAATGTATGGGAATATAGACAAAACTGAAGAAGAGTATAATCGATGTCTTTTTTTTTTTTTTTTTTTTTTTTAAGATGGAGTTTCTCTCTTGTTGCCCAGGCTGGAGTGTAATGGTGTGATCTCGACCCACCGCAACCCCTGCCTCCCAGGTTCAAATGATTCTCCTGCCTCAGCCTCCCAAGTAGCTGGGATTACAGGCGCCTGCCACCACGCCCAGCTAACTTTTGTATTTTCAGTAGAGACAGGGTTTCACCATGTTGGCCAAGCTGGTCTGGAAACCCTGACCTCGTGATCTGCCGGCCTCGGCCTCCCATAGTGCTGGGACTGGGATTACAGGCATGAGCAACCGCACCCGGCCAGAATTGATGTCTTATAGTGAAAACAGTCATATGCTTCAGGGATGTGTCACTTTGAATCCGTTATTTGAATGTCAGCTTCAAAATTCTGGTCTTATCTGGCCACCTGCACTCTTTCTATAAAGAATCTTATTTTGTTTTATTTTTCAATATAGCTCTGTATGTGAAATTCTGGGTTTGACATAGCAGTGATACAGTTTTCTGAAACACATATTATAAAATACACAACCATCAAACAGGTTTCATGCTTTATGTGATTCTTCTACTACCTAAATCACTTCCTATTTTTCCCACTGACAGCTGTTGCCTTCCTCTCTCCCTAAATTAATTTTGGAGTAGGATACACTTTCCTTTACTCTGCTCACCCGAAACCCATTTGGGTTTTTAAAGACTGTGTTTTTATTTTTTAAAGTCTATAAACCACAGAGAATCAAACAAGGATTTATAAAAATGTAACAAGTAATAAGAAATCTAGCTCAGAAGTGCTCAAATTTTAATGCTGTATACACAAAACTATATATGTAATACTTTATGAGTGACAAAGGATTGATTTTCAAGGATGAAACTGAATATTTGAATTTTGTCGCATACACTAACATTAGACCTGAATTTTTATAACTTCAAGGGTGTTGTGGGACTTAGGCTATCATTAATATTTCATTAGATCCCAACACAAACAATCATTCCCCTTCTGTTTCAGATCTCCTGCCGATAGCTGGATGTTCTAGAAAATTTCTGTTCCCAGTCTGAGTGGTGCCTCTGGTAGTTCTTGACTACTTTGCAGAACAGAGATGACTGACACTCCTGAGCCCCAATGAATGGGGCCTTTTTTAGATCCTAGTTACCAATACTTCCCATCTCCCAAAATTCTCTGATTGCTCATTTGTTTATTCATTTATTCATCTATTTGTTCACCAAATATTTATTTAGCACATACCAAGTGCCAGGCATTGTGTGGTCGTTTCATTGTATGGTGATGAGCCAGGCAGATATGGTTCCTGGTTTGTGGATCTTGCATAGAGATGTTTAACAAGGAGTTGTTTAACGAGAGTATACTGGGTAGACCTGGTATCTGTGGAGTCAGGGAAAGTTTCCATGAGGAAGGGACATTTAAACCGAGATAAGAAGTAGCTGGATGAAGTGGGGAGGAGGGCATGCGAGTGTGAGGACCATGGGTACTGGAATGTTCAAAATGGTAATCAACCCCAGCACGTGCAAAAGTCCTGCAGGGGGAAGGAACATGATGGACTCTAGGCGAATGAGAGATTCAGAGAGTAAATGGAGATGGCTCTGGAGATATGGACAGTGCCAAATCACACGGGGTCTTGTAAGCCATGTTAGGTAAGAATTTTAAACTCTATCTTAAGGTCATTGGGAAGCCACTGATAGGGCAGGAGAGGGGCATAAGCAGGTTCATATTTTTAAATATCACTCTGTCTACACTGTAGAGAATGGGTGGGAGGGGAAAGTAAAAGGATGAAGGAAGACCAATTATAAGGACAGAGCAAAAGCGCAAGTGAGGGATGATGTTGAGACCAGGAGAGTAGGGTCTCGATGAGGATGGAGAGAAGCAGCCAGATATGAGATCGTTAGGAGACAAAATAATCAGAATTATCAGGTGATAGGTTAGATGTGAGTGCATGGAGAGGGTAAGGAGACCAGGTGGATTCCTGGGTTTCTCTTGAAGAATTAGGCACACAATGGGGTAAAGGTAGTACCGTTTGCTGAATTAGGGTAGCCAGGAGCAGAAGCAGGTTTGTGAGAGAAAGAGAAGGTAGGGCTGCATTATTGCCAAGTAGATATCAAAGTGGAGGTGTCCAGTTTTACAAAAACGTCCTTTGTAGCTTAGGAGAGAGACCAGGGCTGCAGACATTAATTAACATGGTTATCTGCCAGTGCTATCTAAATAGGCAACAACAATCATTATAATAGTATTCAAGGGGAAAAACTGGTAGCTTCTCACTGAGGCCCAACATATCACAAGGCATGAATTCTCACATTAAAACGCTTGTTTCCAACTCACCACGCTGTATACATTAAATATGTATAGCTTTTGTATGTCAATCATAGTTCAATAAAGTAGTTTTTAAAAATATGGTGTACAAGGTAAAAAGAAATATTTGATTTTCTTATATAATAGTACACAACTTCAGATATCAAGGGCTTACATAAACTGCCAAAAGATTTAATAAACAATTATCATTAAGATAACATTCAAAAGTTATGGTCGTTTCAACCAGTCTAGTGGGAAACTCTGGGCTTTGACCTAAAATTTTTGTTTTAGCTACAAAGTGGTTGGGAAGATTTTGTTTGCTTAAAAGCCAGCTTCCCTTGAACAAAGCTCCTGTTGCTTTCTGGAGTGCATTATAAAGAATGCTGGGAACTGCTTAAATAAAAAGCTAAGGTAAATACATATGCACATAAATAAAATCCCAAACTAAAAATAAATTGTCTCTTTTAATAAAAAATATAAAATAAAATAGAATGCCAGATTCATTGAACTTCCCAGTACTATGGGTCTGGAGTACAGTTTAAACATCTGTTTC